ATGTAAATGAAACAAAGGAAATACTAAGTAAAAATAATGTTATATTGTATTTCCCTACAAACACTGTTCCCTAATTGTAACATGCAGGCTTTTGCCTTTAAAGGAAATCTTTCCTGGGAGAAATATTGGGCCGCCAACCTCCTTTTTGAAAATTTTAGCCGCAATGGAATTATTTTAACCTACTGTCTTAACTGTCTTTAGTATTTTCTGAGTTACTGGTCTGGGACAAACATGAGTAGTAAGATACTACAAGAAAAGCCAAAAATCCTTATATGCATGCTTGTTCTAGGTTAGTGACTCTACAAATTGAATCCAGAGGGTCAGTATGACAGTCAAGCAACTACAATTTGCAAGGACATGTTAGCAACAGTAGTAGTTGGTAGATATTGTTGCAGGGTCCTGCAGCATATGTTTTAGGTGGTTTTAGGATTGTAGCCTATTTGCTGAATAAAGGATGGTTTTGAAAAGGTATTTGTTGTTTTTATATACATTATTGTACCTACTTCATATATGAGGTGTTACAAGGTGGAGACCTTATAATACCTTGTTATTTTATAAGCAGAAAATCTTCTGCAGCAGTTTGCATCAGGTTGACCACTTTATCCCAGAGCCAGAATAGGTCAAAACAACAGAAGTATACTAGCTTGTCCACTATGAAAAATATGCATTTTTGTAGAATGCAGAGAGAATGGTAATAGTGGATTATTTTGTGTAAGCCAAACCGTGATGGATACCACTCTAGCTTGCAAAGAGACTTTAACTGCATTTTAAGGGTATGCACTGAGGAAAGTTGACCAATGAGGTGTTGTTTCATCACAAGAATGCTCCAAGCCACACATCAGCAGTTACTATGACTGATATTTATGAATATTAAACTGCTTTACCACCCTTACCCCCTTTGGATTCCTATTTGTTCCCTATGACTTAACAATAACTTATTGACACTGTTAAAGCCTATACTGACCCCAGAAATAAATAATTTAAAGTGGACGTAAAAAATATATAACTTAATCCTCTTGTCCCATCGCACTCCTGACCGGACAAAAACCCAAATCCAACTGGGTGGGTGCGGTAGTGACAACGGATGCCTCCGTGAAATGTAGATAGATGAAAGTAGTCACTCGCACTCCATGATATTAAAGTCAATGCTGTTTATTGACTGAGATAACACACATCTCCTTAGCTGCAACTGGGTGGGTGCGCTAGTGACAATATACATTTGCTGATCGGCAGGCTTCCTATGAAAGAAGAGACTGCAAGTCTCTTCTGCCATAAAATCTTCTTGCTCCTTGTCAGTATTTCTTTTTTCCTGTACACTGAACTGCACATGTGCAACTCAGAGCACAGGCTTGACATGCCAAGATGAAGTAACTCCCATAGGCAAGCGTCCACAAGATCATAACCCAGAAGAAGACAGTGGGAAATGGAACTGCCGGTGAGGGAGAAGTGCAGCGCTAGAGGGGCCACTTTGGCAGATAAGTCTGCAAGTCTGCCATAATTTGTTAATGTGTTGTGTATACCAGCACATTATTGTAAAAAGCTCCGGGGGGGGAGGGGGTGGCTTCTTTTCCACCCCTCACTTTACTTACACTTTAATTAGGCAGAACCACTGGCATGAGTGTGTGGAACTCAACAAAAAAAGGCCTGCCAGCTTTTTTCTGGACCATCTCCCTTACTGACACAGAGAATATATGGCACAACTCTTGTAAGTTGTTTTTAATAGATTACTGTGTGTAGGAATGTTATATTTTTTCCAAATTCTCTTTTTGTATTTTTGGACCTTGCAGAGAGCTTTAGTCAGCTTTGCTGTGTGTCGGTCAGTGTTCTCCAAGCACGGAGTGTATTATCTCAGTCACCAGCTGCCCAGGTACTACATGTTGACAGGAATACCAGCTTTAAAAGCGAGGAAGTGGAGCCACCAACACCTACTGACCTGCTCAATCCATGAAAAGATTCAGACCCCACTCTTATGTCTGAGCAAAAGGTGGGGAAAAAAGCTTGTGTGCCGAAGGCTGGAATGACCTTGGGGATGTTTTACAAAAACTAGAGAAACTGAGTTGATTTACTAAAGGCAAATAGGCTGTTCACTTAAATGAGAATTTGGCTCTAGAATATGCAACAGATTGGAGGTCTTTTAATGTCACAAATGCTGGATACAATTACCGCGCAGTTGAGGAATTATGTGAAATGTCACAAAATTTGCAGAGTGAGTCAAGAACATTAATATGTTGGAAGAACACTTGACATGACATTTTGGTCTTTGCAACCAAAAATGTTTTTTCATTTTCCTTCCATGTGATTGGATATTCTTTGCAAAGTGCCATTTTACCACATTCACCAAACTAAAAGAAACTTCCTCTGCAAAGTGCAAATTCCCTTGAAAAGTGAACAGCATATTTGGCATTAATTGACAGTGACTATGGATATGAGTTTGCCTCATGTGCCAGAGCACATCTGACTAAAAAACTGAGGCCTCTCACTATCAATGGCATGAATATCATGTTATACATGAATTGTGACTTAGCATTTGCCTTTTAGAATCTTGCTCCTACCTCCCCCTGTAGTTCAGTTTATGTTGTTGGCTCCACCCTTCCAGAAAATCGTTCTAAACTCCATTATGATCTTTTGTCCTACCTGGATGTTTGCTGTTGTCAAGATCTTCACACTTCTCAATGATCTTCAAGGTGTCATTCTGAGTGAGTCAGCTCTCTGGCAACACTATTGGGTTTTTAAGTTATTGCTATCTCTCTTCAACTTCATACGTTACAGAGATCATACTTTCAATGCTTAGACTGGGGAGGGGGGGGGGGGGGGGCGAGGACAGTCAAAGGATCCTTGAAAGCTCTGGAATATATTGGGAGATGGTATAGATCAAGGTAAGTGAATTCAAATTCAAAGAGGTATGGCGTGTAAAATTTTAATTGAGCAGAGGTCCGAATTGCAATCTAGACAGAACAGTCACTCAGTCTGTGTCCATACCGCAGTCCACCATATAGGCTGCATTCACACCAGCAACTGCGCTGCAACACACAGCTGCTGGTGTGTGTTCCCAGACACAATGCTGATGCACCGATCCTGGCACAGCACACTGCTTGTTTTTTAAATTGCTTGTTAGAAGTCTAATATTAATCACCTGTGGTTTAAGCCTCCATTCGTGCTTATGCGTCTTTATTTTCATGTCTTTTCGTGCATTTTTGCAGCACCTTATACACGCGCTGATGCACGTTTTTCATGCATTGTTACGCATTTACATGTGTTTATATCATTCATGTGATTTTTGTTTTGGCCAATAGTAAGCAATATTTGCAGTGACATCATTAGGTAGTATCTTCTAGAGCTGCAGCTAACGATTATTTTCAAAATCGATTAGTTAGCCGATTATTAAGTTCGATTAATCGGTTAATCGGATAAAAAAATAAAATGAATGTTAAAAACCTTGTTCAGCTTCCTACTTGTTCTGTCTGTTGTTTGCCTGCTTAGTTGTGCTACAATCTTGTGCCATATCCGCTATGCAGTGGCGTAACCAGAGTTATTGGCGCCCGGGGCAAGTGACCCCCCCGCACCCCCGGTTGTTACGCCACTGCCGCTATGCTATGTTTTTTAGCCTACCACACAAAAACATTAAGACTCAATGAATTCCAATGGGCCTGGCCTACGTTGGCTGTTTACATCCTGTGGTAGACATCTTTTTCTCCTGCATAGACTATCCCTATTGACTTCTATAGGGCTCGTCTACCACCACCTTCTGTCTGGGAGATGAGCCCCAGTCAATGGGGATATAATGCATGGGCACATTCAGAAGAAGAAAGAACAAGCAACAGAGGCCAGGCCTGTTGGAACTCGGTAAGTATTCATCTGTGTACAGGGAGGGACGACATCACTTTAAAGGGGCCTAAAGGATAAGTGTACTTTGTGTTAAAGTGCACTTATCCTTTAAAGGGATTCCATTAGCTTAATCTACAGAGACAATTTAGTACTTCAAACAAAGATAACGACAGAAGTGAGAATCACGCAACTTTATGAATCTAGATCTCATCTCTCTGCATCTGCTACATACTCCACAAGATCCCCCAAGTTCTTACGACCAAGATCTTCTACTCTGGCAAAAACCGTTTAAGGCCTGAAGGGACAACAAAAATGCGGACACGGCGAGATTTCACTCTCAGACAAGGTGGGAGTCTGGAGCATTTTACTACACACATACATGTATTACTGACAGTCAGTGTGATTGGATGTGTGCTGCCACTGGAAGGGGTGATACCATACGCTACATTGGGTTCAAATAAATCAAGCCTTTTAAATTAAAAGCATGTCAATGCTGCTTCATTCCCAATGAGCAGGTTGGAGGCAAATATGTAACAAAGGAAGCTGCAAGATGCACCAGTGAGCAGTAGTGTCCCTTGCTTGACCAGCGTAAAAGGGATGCGTAAATTACATCACTGAGGAGCATTACAAATCCTTTTACATGCTTTAATTAGCTATTTGCCTAGTGTCCCTTTTTAATGATGACATTTCTGCACAGAAACTCTGATTGCTGATATAAACAACTTATTTTCCTAAGCATCTACATATAAACCCTTACTGTTGCTTTTGCAAATGCTAAATAATTGAAATGTCACCTTTTTCAACTTATGGTCTAAGTGGGCAGACATGCAATATGTACCATGATATAATATCACATGCAAAAGTTTCATTTGTTTCCTTAAAAATGCTGGCTCAGTATCTGAGAGCATTACATTTTTCTTTAATTTTTTCTACATTCCGATAACACAGATAATTTCAGATAAAGTCACTGGCCCAATTTTAATTTTTTTGTGTTGACATTCAGGAGATTTGATAGGGGCATACATCATGTGTTTTGGGTTCAGGCTGGGGTTCATTTCACTAACGAAGACAATATTCCCTAAGTGGAATTCACAAGAGTCACAAAAGCTGGAGAATGTTATGCAACCTAGTCATTCTCGGCACAAAACATCTCGTTCTTGAGATTTACCACTTACTTGGGATTGTCTGCATAGTTTAAAAGGATGAAGAGTCTCTTGGTAAAACAAGTGATGATAGGACTGTAGATCAAACCAAAAGTTGACGCCACTCTCCCACAGCTGAAATGGAACAATACTAATAAACAATAAAGAAATATATACATTTATCCAACAGCAGTTCCAGAACACTTTACAATATGAGTTACATGTTAATTAGAAACGTAAATGGGTTTTGGCACAAAGCAAGATCAACTAACTCAGTTTAAGTTTATATGTGTGTATATCTGCCTGTGTTTACAGCTCTCACACAGTACGACATATTTTAAATTTAGCATCCTGCTCACTCATTAGGACATGGAGCATTTAACATGGCTGATCTATAAAATACTCATACAACTGTCACTGCAGCAGAATATAAATGAGACAGCGAAAGAATGATGACTGACTCATTTTCTTGTGGCTCCACTTTATGAAATGATAACACATGTTGTCCACACATGTGGATATCTAAACACATGTTGGGGATTCTTATTCAAGCATAGAAGAGTTATGATTCTCCCAAGATCCAATCAGACTTGAGAGGCATGATTTCCTTTCCAGTGCCTAGCAGGACAAATGCTGTGCATAGGCTACATAGTAACCACGACTCTCAAAATTCCTAAGCGCATTATACTGACCAGGGACTCCATAATATGCATACATTATTCATGCTGTCATGAATACCAACTGTACCAAAATACACGTGGACAAAGCCATGCTGTAATAAGAAATCCTGGTAACCTGAAGTTCATATGGTCCCCTTTCTATCAGATCTGATGCAGTTTAGGAATTTATGTAGCCATGGCCATGGCAATCCCAATGTGTTCTAAACAAGCATGTCAACTCTTTTTAAAAAATGAAGAAACGATTGTCTGTTTCTGCTCTTTCCTAATTTTAGTGCAGGTGAAATATTTAAAGGAAGTATATCATTGATTTATATGGACAACACAGAGAGACCAATCGCAGACTTTCATATTTGGGCTCACAGTACTCAAAGCATTCAAAGAGGGGAAAATGTTCCTCATAATTTCTCAGATGTACAACACCCCTGGGTATGTATGAAGGACACTGTGTTCTGTGTGAGGACAATAAACCATAAAGGGTGACTTATAGTGCCTATAAGTTATAGGCTATAACTACACAGTGGCTGATGTATGCTAACAGAAAATGAGTTTGCTCTCTGGCATACCTTGTTCCCCGACTGATCACAGAATGTGGCAAAGAAATAACCAGCACGACAGTCAAGGTGGAGAGCTTGAAGCATTTCCTCCATCTTGGAGCTCTTGAGAACACTGCTGCTTGTGTCCACATGCTAAAAGCACAGAATACAGGCAAGTTTATTGCATTGACTCACATTGAGTGGGATGAAAATGACAAAAACAGGCAAATAAAAGGTAATTATAGAATAATTGTACTTATGCATTAGCACTTTCAATCTAGATTGCAGATATAACCCATTCCACTTTGTATTCCTTTCTTCTCTGAGCTGCCATGAAGGGCTGAGACCAGGTCAAATTTTGTTTTGCTAACCTTAAAGCTGAACCCCGGGTGGCTATACAAAATAGTGAGGATCTTATAGGCTGAATTCACAAAGCTGGGATGTATGGTTAGTTATTTTAAAATGTGAGTTATTTTGAGCTTAGCCCAATGAGATTTGAAAATTACAGTCACATGACGAAAACAAATATAAATTTCTTTGTGTTAAAGTGCATGCCTACTCTAACAATGAACTTAAATAAACCATTGGAAGTATTTTGTTCTATCTGCTTGATAAGTGCAAAAATATAAAATACTGTTTATCCTGCCTGAAATCTAGCGAGATTATATATTCCTGAGCCAAATCCTCCTTCATTTGTATCTTACAGTCACCCTAAGAGACACTACAACTCCCAGTAGTACGGTTTCAGCAACAGAGGCAGTGCAGTCAATGCAGAAAACAATGGGCAGGACTAGGTATGGCCAGGTGCTGATTGACAAGCTGCAGGTTGTGAATCAGTAGTGACAATGCTAATAACCATGCCTCTGCAACATTTTTTCGTCCCACTGTAGTGCAAGAAAACACATCATACATGAGAGTGGTAACTCTGCTCTGAATTCAGGAGCGGTTCAGCATTATTGCCACATGACAGGAAGCTGCAGAGAAATAAAGGCAAAACAGTAAGTGCAGTTGCAGTTGCAGCAACACATATTGTTTTAATAGGAGGCCATAGAATTTCTTTAGCACTAAAACTTAGCCTCCTACTCAACCTTCTAAACCTTAATGTAAAATGAAACTACTCACCCATTATAGATAATATCAGAAAATGTAATTGTTATTTTATTGGTGGTCAAGTTTTCTCATATAACTAAAATGAAAAGAGTACAAGTCCAAACCCAAGAACTACTCTGGTCAAGAACAGAGGTAAACCTGTTACACATAAAGTAGTTAACCACAAGCCCCAAGAATTCTGCGTAACTGATACAATTTCTATATTTCACAGCCCTTGTCTATTATCTCCAACTGAGATAATGAGGGGGATTTATCAAAACTGGAGCAAACTGGAGTTAATGCAACAATTCAGAGCTTGGTACAAGTTCAAGACTCCGGAAAAGGTGATATTGTTGAAAAGCAGCAATGCTGGGACTGCACTCGACCTGACTTCTCTGATACCTGGTACACACACATAAGACACCTTTCTGTACTGACTAACTTGGTGCGATGATTGGGAAATACTGGTCATTTTATTACAATATACTCCCCCATTTGGATGTCTACATTAATTATTTTTTGAAACTTTCTGAACCAACAGGAAAGGTCCAGCTGGCACTTTTGAAGTTCACAAGTTCTGCTCCAGGATGCAGGGCTCTAATCCCTCTTCAGCTTATTTTAAATATTAAAACTGCTAGAGATCTGATACTTCCCTTGCTTATTTTCTAAAGGGCGTGCTCTGACTTTCAACCAAGTGAGGTCACTCTGAAGATATTACAGTAAAAAAAAATAAAAACAACCTGTAAGCAATCTTAACCTTCCCCTGACGTACATGTAGTTCTTGGTGATAATACTTAAGCTAAAAGAAAAAAGTAATGTAAATTATTTTTACTTCGTAGAAGACCTAAATCTAGATTAGGGAACTGATGAAATCAAATGTTTCTGGGGGTGGATTATTTATCCTGGCAAAGAGTTTATTTGAAGTACATTCAAGCTATTCCATGAGGTCATGAGTTTAAAACGGCTGTTTGCATTGAGGAGAGACTCGGCACAGTTGTCAGGGGGGACAAGGCCGGTGGCACAAAACCAGAATAGCAGCAAAGCTGCTAAAGTATGGAATCACACCAAGGATCATCAAGTGGCTATATGACCGGGGCAGGAAGTTCTAGCCTGGCACTGTTTTTTTTAGATCTCCATAAGACGATCATCACTTCTCAAGATCCCCCATAATCCATCTCTAAGCAGTCAGGATTTATAGAGAGCTCCTTAAGCCTCCAGCTATTTGCACACAATCCCCTAACAATTACTAATTGGTAATGGAATTATAGTCTCATATTCCAGGAATGCTCAATCAATACCAGCAGTCTTTAAGAAGGTATTTAATATTGACCATGTTTCATGGATCACACTTCTACATCATCAGGGAGTCGGTTTACTTTTCTCTTAAACTTTTAATTCCAAGCTATTTTAGAGCTGCAGATCCTAGATGGACTCTGGACAGACCCCTGGAGTAAAATGTAGATAACAAGCACTTATTCTTGGAAAAACAGAAAATAAAACACTTAATTTTCTGGTGTTGTTTTGGGCTGTTAACCAACTGATGTTAAGTCATTCCCCAGTATGGTAGTAAAGTTTTTTTGTCTCTCAAATCTTAAAGAGGACTAGCTGTGCTTTCAAGAGCATTACACTCCTTATAATTTGTGAATGATTCTTTAAAATGCTATTGGAGGTTAACAAATAACTTCTTGGGCCCTGGTGGCAATGTGCATATAAGGGCAGTAGGTAATATGGGGCTAATGGGCTGGTGAAGTGCAACAACCATTAGTATATGCTCATCTAAAGGTACTTATAAACATGACATTAAGGAAGGAGGATTCAGTGGTTTAATAATCATTTTTGAGAACAATCAGGGCATAAACATGTGACCTGTATTGGCCAAGCATGCATACATCAATCTACTTTGCTCTAGCCTTATCTTAGGAGAACAATAACAATAGGCCTGGAAAAATCTAATGCAGCTGATAAATTCTACCCCCAAGAGTGGTTGGCCAGAGGGTGTCTACAGACATCACAGAGTGCACACATACAAAGTTGAAATAAATTCAGTTTCTTATCGTCAGTATAAAACAGAAAACCTGTCAAGAGTGAAACATATAGGCTACTTTTTCTACCTCTCATTTGCTAGTTGCTGGAATGTCATGTTGATTCAGAGTCACTGACAAGTGTCACTAACACCAAGCATTGATGATACCTGCACACTCGTAGCTCACCTCAATGTGAAAGCATCGGGCCAAGGGAATGGCAGGCGGTGTGTCACTTGCTTCTTCATACCTGAAAATACTGCCATTTGTACTAAGAGTGGTAGTGGGAAGCTAACAAATGGGGGAGCAAAGGGAAAGGTAATCATAGGCACCTTAGGATGTATAGAGGGCAGGGTGGAGTGGGTTGTCAGTGCTGAATTTTGGCCAATTTGCTACATACACAGCTATATATAAATATATATGTAAACCTTTTTATCAGGCATTTTCATGATTTTGTTTAGCCATTGTGTGTGATTTACACATTACTGAAAAACTGCAAACACTGGAAGGTGACACCAATTTGTAATTATTAAGAAACACTATGGTGTCATCTTCTTGCCCCAACCCTCATGACTGAGCAATGAAGGAGAAGCAGTAGCAGCAGCAGCAGTTCAATGTTTATGTCAAATCTGTGCTCTAGCCCCTTATAACTGTATTCCACGTAATAGACTAACAGCAATGTCAGACAAAGTACATACTAAAGGGCTGACACCACTCAGCCTTCCCATCTCAGTGTGATATACCATAAAAATACTTACAAAAACAAGATCTTCTTCAGGTGCATTGTGATAAACTTTTGGTCCAATACCATCTTTAGCCAGGCTTGTACGTACACTTGGTGCATACCAACTCATGGGTCTGATTCTTGTCCTATTTAATGTACAAGGTATTGTAGAAATAATAAATTCACCTGGCGGAAATGGTAAGGGCATTCACACACCTTCCATTTTTTTTTTTACTAATAATGTGGCCAGTTGTGTTTTCTCTCTGCCCATTGACATCCATCTGCTTGTTCTTAACTCCTTCCCAATTGACTCTTGCCATCAACAAAAAATGAGGAAAGATTTCCAACCCATCACAGAAGCCCTCGCAGACCAAGCTGCTGCATGCAGGCACTGAAGGGGACCTGTCTCCTCCTCACGAATATAATCATAATCATCACAAAGTAGATGCCACTGCTTTATATTGCATGCATAGCCATGAATGCATTTTTAATAAATAGTATATACTATGCAAGCCAATAATGTAGGGTTATTTCACTTATTGCAATAATACTTTACCGGCTTTGACTTGATCGGACAGCACTGCCAGGTAAACTTTTAATCAGTCTGTTTCCAGGTTTTAACTTAGCCGATATCAGGCTGTCTGATCGTCTAGTGAAAGAGGCACTTTTAGTTTCTGTGGGAGAAGTGAGGCTCTTGTGCAGTACCTAAACACACGTAAGTTCAGATTATGTACATATATAAAAATATATTGTGAACATTCATGCATTTTATATTTTATTTTCATATACAAAAAAAAACAGAAAAGCTACAAGTACAAGCTAACTCAGAAGAAGAAGTGCAGACCAAGATGACGTGCAAAACGTGGTAATCCATAGGCAACCGTCACCAACCATCTTTGAGCTGAGCTGGCTGCAGCTTTTAATGGAGCTGAAATCAGATTGGTTGTAGTGTAATGTTGCACCTTCATTACTCTTTCAATAAATCTGTGCAACAAAATTATACAGGAACGTGAACCAAAGTCATAATATCCAGGACCAAATCAAGTCTGGCTGACTGACACAGCTTATGCTTGGTGTGGAAGTCCTGACCTTTAAAATATCAGCACTGCCAATCACATTGTCAAAAAATGCAGAGAATCTGTGGTTTATGCCAGATCATATCTGGTAGGCCTGCACTAAGGTACAACAGCCAGCAAGGCAAAATTACTGTGCTGCACTACTAAGCAGGAAGCAGAGCCTACACATGTAACTAGCAAATATGACTGCCCTATGTACATATAAATTTACAAACTATGCATAGAAACCAGGGATGCGCGGTGAGGTCAGTGGTAGGTAAGGCATTCCCCGGCCCGCCCCCTGTCCCTGGCTCGGTCACCGAGCTATATGTGGAGGAGGGAGGAGACTGCGAGGGAGCCTCCCTGTCCCTCACTTGCGTGTAACTGATGAGACATCTAGAAAGTATATGGAAACTGTGCTCTCATTTGATCCTGTACTGTTCAGGGAAGCTGAGCTGAGAGAATTGGAGTCAGATATTTGGAAACATGATGACTGTAAGTGACTGTAAGTGATTGGGTGAAATGTAAAGAAATACCTTGCTGGACAATGTATATTGGTATGATCTGGATTCACTGCTGGAAAAAGTGTGAGCAAAGAGAAAAAAGTGTGAGAGTTTAATACTACTTTATGTAAGGTGGCTTTAAGAGAATAACAACAAAAATCCCTTACTTCAAAATAAATAATGGCAGCTGTCTCCTAAAACAGAACACTTATCCCCATGTACAAAGCACAGTTTAATACACGTGGGTGCAAATATTCAAATGATTTCTATAGCATATGAAATTTGATTGGTGGGAGGAACCAAGAAAACAATATGTGCTGCTTTTATTATAACACTGCAGAAATATTTCTAATTTTTAGTACTGTCATAGTCTGTAAGATTCTTAATGTTAGAACTGTCAGATTGTCTTCTAACTAATGCTGAATGAATAAAATGTAAAATGTGAGCACTCACCGGAGAACTTGTCATTGATATCCTTGGAGCACAAGACTTCGGTCTGTGAGGTAACATTGTTATTGTCTGTGGAAAGGGGTCTGCATCTCTTTTGGGTCTCAGCTGACGGTCATACCAGCGTTTTAGATCTGCACCAACTGTATTAGCAGACGTTGTATCTGCCAAACAAAACCTCGGCCCCCTTTACCAAAATAAATGCAGTTGTTTCAGTATTAGTTATAAAGAGCAGACAAAGATCCGACATTTTCAAATAGAGTTTGCCTGGTCTTACTAGTCCCTCATATTACTTTTGGCCCAACACTATGATTGGTTGCCTCACAGGCCAATAGAAATGTGACATAGACAGGAAGGGGCAACCAAGTTTCAGTACTCAACATTAGAATTTCCAATATTAGAAAATGTTGGAACTCTTTGCCAGTCAGAACAGACCAGAATTCAAGCCAAGCAGGAGCTATTGAAAGCTGCTGCATGTATATGCCTTTAGCTGCCTCCACGCTATAACTGTCAATAGGTCTTGAAGTAGTATTGCTCTAGAACCAGAGAAGTCACAGAGGATAGAGCATGGTTACCACTGAGATCTACTCCTACGCTGCCATTCCCCATAACAAAAAACAGCCTTGGAACAGATAAAGGTAGCAGAAATGTTGTCCATCTTTTTATCTCATTTGATTGGTGATTTGATGACCATTATTGTGGGCCAATGGAAAAATTTGAGATCAATGACCAGTGGCTGGAAATCTGACTGCTACTAAAAAATCTGCAGCTGGTTCTTTATGAACTGGACAAAATTCATAAATCTGGCAACTCAGCTGAACTGCGCCTCTAGTCAGATGTCGGTAAGCAGTCACAGCAGAAAATTCCTCCATCTATGGATGGAAGAATCTCTTAGACATTTTCAGCCCCCAAGCCAAATAAAAATATATATATACACAGTAGGTGTATGGTCAGCCTTATGCTGCAGTATCAGCAAACAGCTCACTGGTTACTAGCAGTCCAGGAGGGAGCTTCTACTGCAATCGTTGTGCTCTGTTAGTTGTCCAAGCCAATCAGCCACCCCCTAGGGGTCCTAATATTCTGGTTCCACAAAAAAAAAATCTTTGATTGCAGATTACATTGTAATTTTTTCTTCTTGATTTTCTGTCTCTAAATACTAATGAAAAGCAAGTGAGACGACACAATCATAGCTAAGTATATCAATCTTCACTTAGATCCTCTACATTTGTAAAACAAATCCTGCTTATTCAAGGATTATATATAACATGGACCAATTTCAGATTTCTCATGAATGCAGAACATTGAATGAGCAAAAATTCCTACCAGTACAGAAGCAGTCGCTTCACAATTTCACTCTGGACAGACTGTAGATGGTTTTCACTCCACTGATTGGTATCAAGAAGGTCCAGTTTCATTAGGACTTCAGTCTGAAGATAATGATCTCCTGTGGCCACCAGGTAAATTTTTTTCATCTTGTTAAGATGACTGGAAATAATATAAAAGGACAATATCACATTATTATAGTGTCATTTTATACTATCTCACACAGTAAAAAAATTATTTTTTTATTTCTGAAGGGCCCTGCACAATTAACACGTCTAACAGAGTTACTCACTAAAGGGTGAAGAGTTTGGAGAAGGCAGGAGAAGTGAACAATGTAGGACAACATAGCTGAACTGGAAAAATTCTCTCAAACTCAGCTCACTTCACAGTTCAGCTATGTTGTCCTAGATTGTTCACTTTTCCTATAACACAGCAAATCTTCACTTTTCGAGCTCAGATCCATGCATATATTTCAAAGCTTTTTTTTTATTTGGCCAAGAATAGTTCTCGGAAAAAATTTGTAAACTATTTTATTTTTCCATTTCTAATGGTTAGCGAAACTATTGTACGTTGTGATCACATTGATCCTACATCTTTAAAGAGTTTGCACTCTTCACTGTAGTAGATCAGCAGGGGGCTAACATTTCAGCTCTTATGGGTTGTAATTAATTCATCTTCTACTACTTTCAGTCGTCATAATGGGCCCATGTGCTGATGTATTATAAAAATGCCCTTTTTGCACCTTTAGTACAGCTCTGATTACACTGATGGTGCTCTAAGCCATCTAGGGGTTACACTTGGCACTGCAGACCCTTTTAGCTTACCATATATTACATACATATTTTAAAAAGAAGAAGTACGTCCCTTCTCTGAAACAAATCAATGTCCAGTGTAAAATATATTTGAAATCTATCAACCTTCAACAATAAACTGATGGAATATGAGCTACAAATCAATACAAGAACAGGCACACATTCTGTACCTCTGCTTTCTTTTTATGTCAGTCATGGCTTTCAGTCGTTCAACGTCCATCCACAGCCTGAATAGTTTTTCCCCAGATGTCCCCTTGAGAAAAGATTTAAACCTTTCAAATTCTTTCTGACTGTGGATATGATGATATGCATGCTTATTATGCGAGGACTTCAAGGCATCCAATTCATTGGTGTCCAACTCCGAGATGTCAATCTCTTCCACAATTGTGGATTCAGAGGTAGTGGAAGGAGTTCTTGTGTTCTGCAGAGGCTGAATCTCCACCTCTGATAGGCTAAAAACATCAATCTCATCCGTGCTTTTCTCTAGCTTCTCTCCATGTAGCTTGGACACTGCAGACTTCATAACTCGATCAACATAATAGAAGGAAAAATCCTCCATCGTTGGGAAGACTGGGATATTTTCTTGGCCTTTATCCTGTTGCTCTTTGTTGGGTAATTTGTCTTGTTTCTGTTCAATATAAATTCTTACTGGACTTGGCATAGGAGAAACTGCAATGGATACAGAATACTCATCTTCCTCCGGAGCACCTTGTGTCTGGGTATTGGAAGCACTCTGTAGAACTTCAAACATAGACAGTATATAGTTAAACATTATTATGGCTGTTATTGCTGTCTTATGTGTGAAAACTAATAAGCTTCTATTACTTAAAACGTTATTACAGTTAGTGAAAATGGGGCGAACAATCAAAATACAAGAATATTGTTTTAGCAACATAAGCTGCAGTAAATGTTAAAGCATACTGCACATTATGTCACTGAGTGTAGTCATTTTCAAGATAAAAATGATGTATATTAATATATTTTGAGTTTCTCAATGTAAATCTCAATAACAGTTATGTACATACCTACAGAAAATAAATACCTTGATACCTGCTAAATACAGTATATTTGTGTAATACAAATGATAGGGGTAAATAGTGACAATTCAAATGGGTCGCATGGAAACATTCTTCATCAAGAAGCAGACAGATTCACCTTTATACATTTTAAGTTTATTAAAGCTGAACACCAGGCAAGTAGCTAAACACAAATATCAAACACATTGGTATGTGCACTGTTTTGCCTGCCATTGGAAATGTAATTCCATTCAACTAGTCTGAGATGCAGACACCCTGGCCAGACTGCATAGCCAGGCCAGTGACCTACCTTTTCTCAAGTTCATTTAAGCAATGTAGCTCGCTTACTGACCTAATCACAATCAGATTGGTCAGATTTTTTTACAACAGCCTATGCTTTCATAATGTTCGTTCTTCTCTACCAAAGTTGATCCCCACTTTTTTTGTACAAAATCATGGCCGCAAGTAAGAGGTTTATAGAAGGTATCTGCAAATTGTATGTCAGGGCAAACTAAAAAATAAAAACCTGCAACAGATGAACATTCCTTATGTTTTATCTCTTCCAAAATGCTGCAATACAGTGCCTTTGCTGCACCAAAATCCCAATAGGTCTACCCCCCTCCACTATCTGTCCCTCTCCACATGCATACATCAATTTGTTTTTTCTCCAGCAAAACAATGCTGCTGCCTTGACTCCCAACAGCTTGCCCCGCACATTGTGTGTAGGGAAAGGGCTCTTGGGAGATGTAGCTCTGGGGGGCATGCCTACATCAATAGGGACTGAGCTCCAAACAACTTCTCCTGCAAGAAACTTACAAGCCTGGTGCTGATGTCACAGAGTGATAAAATCTGTTTCTTGCTACAGAGTAAAAGGGCAAAACTTGTAAGAACACTTTAGGCTGGATATAATAAGCCTTATTTTGCGCTAAGACCTTGGCCAAATTGATTATCGCTGCCTATAAAAGTGCTGGGTATGCTATGTATTCTTACTTACCTTGATTACTATGGTATCCATTGTACAATGAAGATCTGCACTGTGCAGGCTCCCAGGTGATGGGTCTAGAAGATGAAACCGTGGTCGCAGTAGTCTCATTTTGATTTGCTATTGTAAACCATTCCTTTGTCTGGGTGAAAGAAGCCTGGGAAAACCATTCAAATGTTTAACCGGTCAGCCACACACTTCAGGATTATCACTGTTTTCCCTTATAACAAATCTATATTATGAGAAAATAACTTGTACAGCATTGTAATAAAACTGAAGGTATTCACATATCATCATCACTTTCTCACAAATCCAAATAACGGGCTTATCACTTATTTTACAATAGTGGAAAGAGAAATGGAAATCATTCTTGTGTGCCCCAGTGGCCAAACGTGGTTTTAAAGCCAGACAGAACCCAAATATAGACCAATTTATCCAGTTTACCCGCAGCTGTTTCAGATTTGCTATCTATCTTTATTGCAAAATATAGAAATCTCGGCTTCTATGGAACTGTGCTTATGGAGAAGTAGACAGTAAAACCAAGTTATCTTGAGGTAGGCCAAGAGAAACCAATAACCCTCCAGTAAAAAAAACACACATATTACAGATTGCTATTATTAAAACAGGAGACATTTGTTTGTCATCACTTCCATCACATGCTATAAAAAGGATGGGATTTACACTTCATATCATACTTTATTCTACTGCACAGAAGCCATGGGTTCTCATATCTTGCACCACTCAAACTTAAAAACTTAAAAAGCTTGCAACAGCTGCATGCAGGTCAGATAGATGTCTCCATATATGTTATAGTTTATATCTGTCCCATTCTAAAAAGAAAAAAAAAAATATGTTGGCTGAAGCTGGACCTTTACAGCTTCAGTATTTTGGATGCATGTCCTACGTTCTGGCCTTGCTTCTGTGTTGTGCAGATGGCTGCCTCCAATTGAGTAAAAGTGATCTGAGCAGCTGCAGAGCTGTCCAATCATTTTTACATGAAGTGCCAGACCCACCAGACTCCGTTGCTCCATGGTTCCTGTGTACTCCAGTTCCTTCTGGGATCTCGGGACCACAACAAAGAGTGTCAGGATGGAGAGCAGTAGGACAGTTGTTCCCCGATTTCCTCTCCAGTGTGTGAACCTGGAAGGGCTCAGTTTTGAGCATTTCCAGGTTCAAAGCTGTCAAAATTTCAGCTGAAAAGCTGATCAAGCATAGTCTGTGCTTGATTGGCTGTAGCAGAGGTCAGGGGACACATTAGAGCTCTAATAGACTCCTCCTGTCTCCATAATGAGTACCTGTCACCTACCCAATGATATCACATAGGCAGCTTGTTAGCCACCTTGTGATAGCAATATAGTTATAGTGGTAAAATATAGAAAATGAACTGCGCCAATAAGCAAGCTAACAGCTACAAGGCACTGGAATGTACACCCACTGTGAGTGTGTATACGTGAAAAGTGAATAACTAAATGTGCCGAGCTACAACAATGATCAGATATAAAGAGTAAACAAAATAAAAAAACAGTGACTCAAACAAATGTCAGTGAAAAAAATAAATCAGGTGTAAAGATGTGGGAGTGTTTTCTGTAGATGTGACTATATATATGTGATCCAGAACATCAGATGCTCCTGATCCCTGATGAATTCACGCTGGACGTAATGCGCATAGGGCGGAGCATTTGACGTTACATTGATCTCTACGACTGACGGCCGCAGTCATTTGAAACTCTTGCACATACTTTTAAGAGAGAGTCCAAGCTATGTTACCACTGCTTTTATATGAGTAATTTTCTTTTAATAAATCATACTCTGTTTGGATGGTACGCGCTATGGTGTTTGCTTTCTTTTTTCGGTCAACACGATCCTGGCATTGACACTTTATACTGAGGAGGCCTATAGATCAATAAAGATTGGAGGCTTTTGCTTTCCTATTTAAGAAGTGTTGCACAGATCTGTTTGCTGGTCTGATTAAACCATTGGAGGACATCTGTGAGCGATTGGAGGTGAGGGCCCTCTCCCCTGGTTAAGAAGGGAATTGCCTGGTTTGACCTCTTGCTGGGGTCTATCAATAAGGTGAGCACCCCTATATCTGGTGTGGTGCACGTGGTGCATTTGGTGAAGGAACAAGTAATATTCATCACTATTGCTATATTTGGACATCTTTCGCGGATTTATGAAGATTTAACGACTTTACACCTGATTGATTTTTTTCACTGACATTTGTTTGAGTCACTGTTTTTTTTATTTTGTTTACTCTTTATATCTGATCATTGTTGTAGCTCGGCACATTTAGTTATTCATAGTTATAGTGGTACCTCGGTTCACGAACCCTTCTGTTCGCGAAAAATTCGGTTCACGAACAGGAGGTTAAGCAAAATTTTGCCTCCGTTCGCGAACTCCGCATCTGGTGACGAACACAACCGCAGCCATCTCCCCTGCCCTGACACATGGTCGTGGCTTCCTCTAGTCAAGATCGCGGTCTGATCACAGTTTGATTCGGTTTCGCAACCAGAATCATGGAACGAATTAAGTTTGTGAACCGAGGTACCACCGTATATGAAAAATAAATTAATTAATTAAATTGATAAGGGGAATGGAGGGCCTGAGTTATCAGGAATGATTACAATTTGTTCTCCTTAGAGAAGAGACGCTTGACATGACTGCAATTTATAAATTATTCAGTGGTGACGACAGTATTGGGAATACACTATTTAAACTTCGAACTCCGAAGAAGACATGAGGGCACAACAAGAAATTAGAGGGGGTATAATCTTAAACTGCGCAAGGTTTTTTTTTTTTACTGTGAGTACGGTAAAAACGTGGAATTCACTTCGACAGGTAGCTGCATCAGTAGAAAACATTAACAGCTTCAAAAAACACTTGGATGAGTTCCTCAGTTTACAAAATATACACTTTATACAGGGTTATGGAAATTGATAGCATTATACATACACACAGCTACTAAATTGGTTTCACTTGATGGACCTGTGTCTCTATTCATACTCACCTAGTTGCTATGTAACTATGTAAATAAATATGTTTAAACAAACCATAATAAAAGAAATAAAAATAATTTTATAAATGTAAAAGAACTTCTGTTGTCCTGTGTGCACACATACGAATATAAATGGGAATGTAGGATGTGCACATGTATGTAAACAACAGTTGCACAACACATATTTGGTATTGACGCACATGCTGGAGTGAGAAATAATTTTAGGTCCCTCATTTACTGTTAACTCTAAACTGATGAGCTGTAAAGGCTTTTTTAAGCTTCACCTATTGATAATTTTAGGTGCCGTAACTGTTCACTACTTCATGGGCACAAACAATTTTGAGGTTTGACATATTTGATATCTATTTACTTAATGCAACCTCATCTTTTATTTTGTAGAAAAATTGGAGATTATATTGTTCTTGTGTGCGCTAAATATATTTTAGTGTAGTTTTTAACGGAAAATATAAATTTGATAAACAGTTGTGCAAATATGGTATGACATAGAACCATACAACACAGAACTGTTTATTCTGCGGCCTCTGCTTTGAAAAAATATATAATGCTTGGGAGTTTTAAGTAATTTTCTAGCCAAAAATTTGTATAGATTTTAATATGTGTGCGAAACAGTAAAGAAATAGCTCCGGTATCCGAGGGGGGAATGCTTGTATCACCTGTCCAAGAGTAACAAAGTATTTCCTCATAAGTTCTTCATTTTCCGTCTCTGGGGATGGAGATGGCTCCACTTCTCTTTTGTATGCCCAAGGCTGGTACTGAGGATCAAGCTGTAAACTCACTCCTGTATGTCTCACTTTAACCTGGGACATCAGCTTAGCAAGTCTAAAAAAAAAAAACAGAAGGAAAACACAAGAGGATCGTTATGATTTCTTTATAGTAACAATGAAAGAATCCAGAACCTAGATTTTTATTTATCTATCACGCAAAGGTCCTAGGTGTCATCCTCACCTTTCTTACCCACATCCAATCACTGACTTCAATCACCCACTCCCCTCTGCCAATCCCTGCACTGGCTTTAAATAGCCCAAAGGATAAAATTCAAAATATTAAAGGAGAACTATGAGGTGAGTGATTTTCACTCATCCTCATAGTTCTAGTCGACCTGTGACAATGAGACTGTCACAGGTCAGCTCAGTAGATCGGGAAGTGAGCGAACAAATACCGGCGTTTGCTCACTTCTCGATCCTGTCACGGCAGAGAGCCGTGACAGGGGAGGGACTGGATTCCCCCTCCTCGCTCCGATCCTCCTGCGATGACTGGCGGAACGGACGGGGGAGGGGGCGGGTACAGCTGGCTCTGCCTCTAGATAGGCTGGGCGGATCCAGACATAATTGTCGGGATCCGCTTCAGCTGCGGCATCTCGGTATACCGCGAGCAGTAGCTTGTGGTATAATGTGGCGTCTTGCGTATCGAATATGTGCGTTTCATGCCGCGTGTTTTTACAGCAATTTGCGGTAAAAAAAACACGCACTTCCGACGGCTACCTGGCTGTTTCCGAAGGGATACACGCAGCAAATACGCCCCAAAGAAGCTCCTGTACTTCTTTGGGTGTAGGTGGGAACCATGCCCATAGGCAATCATTGGTTTTCACACGTTGGACGTTTTACAGAGCGTATGAACGCGCTGTATAACGCCCAGGTGTGAACTAGGCCTTACTGCCTTTATGGCGATCCCTTAAGACTCATCTCTTCAGGCCTATCCCACCTTGACCTAACCACTCAACCATCACGTTCTAATCTAAAACAATTCATCCCCACACAGCTACCTCCTCATGTATCACTTGCCCCTCCCTTTTAGATTGTAAGCCCTCACTGGCAGGGCCCTCCTTACCATCTTGTCTTGAATTGTATTGTGATTGTAATGTCTTCCTTATATTGTAAAGTGCTGTGCAAACTGCTGGCGCTATATAAATCCTGTATAATAATATCTGTGCATTTTGCAAATACCGATTCCTTAGCAAGATAATTTATCCTCCATACTGAAAGTCTGAAAGTTGTCCGTTCATGTGCAAGCTACATGTATCAGGCAAAAGGCATCTTCTGCTATACCATTAAAGGGTATCTACGGTCAAAAAAATTAAATAAAAGCTTTTTTTGAAGGAGGCGCTATGGTGTAAAAGAGACAGAGAGAGACAGAGACAGAGAGAGAGACAGAGAGAGAGACAGAGAGAGAGACAGAGAGAGAGAGAGACAGAGACAGAGACAGAGACAGAGAGAGACAGAGAAGAGGGAGAGAGAGAGAGAGAGAGAGAGAGACAGAGACAGACAGAGACAGAGGGAGAGAGAGAGAGAGAGAGAGAGAGACAGAGTGAAAGAGAGAGAGAGAGATAAGCTACAGTTCTCCTTTGAGTTGACATAACGCTCCCTGGCCCCCTAGGCCCCCTAGGCCCCCATGCAGCCAGCTCCAATGTTTTTTTTTTCTGCTCACATTCTCATCCACCTTTAAACTTTCTTTTATTCCAACTCTGAATATCGCATACTTTATCCACGGTAACATGAAGACTCCATTATCCTTGAAACATTTAGACCAGCGATAACTCTTGGCCGCTCCCCACTTTATTGCTCCGTCTGCTGTACTCACATTTTACAGCCTCCCAAGCAAGCCATGCCTCAGGTAACCGTGGCAACACTCGGTGTCTCATGATGAACTATCGTATAAAATTTAACAACGCTTCAAAAATTCAACACATTCTCTTCTATTATAGCCTTTCATACCACAGAATCAAAAATGTCAGCTTAATGACACTGAATGAAGAAAATGATAAACCTATTAAATATATACTGCAGTCTGCCAATAGCACTAACACACAGGGGGAGTTTATCAAAACTGGAGCAGACAGAATCTAGAGCAGCTGTGCATGGCAACCAATCGGCTTCTCTCTTCAGTTTGTTCAGTTAAGCTTTGAAAATGAAAGGTAGAAGCTGAATGAGTCATTTTTGCATTTGCACTTCCTTTAACAGGGTGACAACACAGTTCTCTCTGCAGTGAAATCGCACAGTAGTGTTTGTCACCATGTGGACAGGATAGTCTCAAGCTGGCCATGTACCTTACAATTTATCTGCAGATTTTCTGTGGTCAGATGGAAAAGGTGCAACAGATTCCTCCATCTACACTTAAAGCCCCGTTCACATTGAGAGATTTATCGCGCGGTAATTCCCGCGATATCGCGGCAAATTACTGCGCGATATCGCGCTCCAATGCATTTCAATGGGGCAAAGGGTCCTGCTGTCGCGGGTCGTGTGTCGCTACAGCAGGACCCTTTTTGGAGCGGATTTAGCCGCGATTCAAGCTTGCTCAATGCAAGCTTGAACGCGATGTCGCGCAGCAAATCTCGCGATATCGCGCAATATGCAAATCGCGCAACAAACGCGCGATTTGCATATCGCGCAGTGGGAACAGGGCCTAACTGTGTGGATGGAGTAATCTCCACCTGGGCCAATCTGTTGCACTTTTTCCATCTGACCACAGAAAATCTGCAGATAAATTGTAAGGTGTATGGGCACCTTTATATGGAAATTCAGTTTTAAATGGACTTTAGTAAAGAGAGAACAAATGAAAGCTCAGTGCATTGGCTGTGCATTGAAGTCAATGGCACCACAGCCACGCCCTCAGTGCAATCGCCGCACTATAACGTGTGCCAAATCAGTGCCTATATTGTAATTCAGTATGAACAGAAAAAATGCTGCTGAACTGAAAAATTAACAATTTTTTCAGATCGCACTGGGCCGCATTGCAGGCATTGTTGTGCCCGCGTTCTGGTGTGGTGCCATTGACTTCAATGCACAGCCACCCATGCCCCCTCCCGCCCCAGAACGCAGGGAGCCAGCCAGGATGCGATACAGTGAGTTCCAGCAGCTAACCGTGCTAGAATGCACTATATATGGTGTGAACATAGCCTAACAGGCTTTAGCTGTCCAGCAAAAGTGTCAGTTACAGTAGGAACAAACCACATAACAGTGACAGGGGTGCTTATAATGGTCAGCTTTTATTCATCTTCATTTTTTTGTTAAATGGAACTGAGTTTTCATTCGTTCTCTCTTTACTAAAGTCCATTTAAAACTGCATTTCCACGCAGGGGGGAGTTTAAAATGCTATACCGTGCGTTTCAACAGCTAGCCTTGCTGGAACGCACTGTATAATGCGGCAAAATCTGTTATTCTGAGAGACTGGAAATCACCACATCCTCCAACCATAAGGAATAGTTTGCACACATTAAGGCCTCATTCACACAAGAAAAGGCCGGGACGTACAGATCTGTGCTGCGTGCACGGCCGTATCGGGCAGCTCCCTGGAAGGACAGGTGCAGCGTGTGATTAGTGCGCAGCCTATGTCCTTCTCTATTCGAGTACATGGCCATACGCCGCCCTATGATCACCCCAAGTGCAGGTCCGTACGGGTGCGGGTGTCCCGGCTCGGATGCAGGCAGGATCCAGGTGAGCGTAGGGTGGCGTACGGCTGCGTACTCCCATAGAGAAAAACAGGGTCTGAGAACTAATCACACGCAGCACCTGTCCTTCCCGGGAGCAACCCGATACAGCCGTGCATGCAGCACGGAGCTGTACGTGCCGGCCTTTTCTCATGTGAATGAGGCCTAACAATGTAGTTGAAGTGGAAGAACTGACTTACCCGTCCAACACCTGACCCCCCACAAAGGGAAAAAAGAAGTCAGTAGATATAAATTGTTTACTTTACCTGTATTCAAAATAGCAATCACTCTTCAAAAAAGCCGGAAGCCTCTCCTTCTTGACCCACTGAACTCCTTGCTCCCGATTCAGACACTTAAAAATAAGACATTTAAATGTTTTTTTTCAGCTGAATTTGCCTTAGGAGGGTTATGTATTTATTTATTGCTCATGTCACAATACTTTCACTCCTGAATAGACAGGTGCAGATATGCAAATATCCCACAGATGTACGAGGGAGAATCGAAGAGTAAAGGCAGGGGTGTCCCCCGGCCGGGTGTCAACCGGAGAGGAGACTGGGTGACACCCCACCCTGACGTCGTCACGCATGCGCAACCATCTAATTGACGCCTGCCGCGGCCATCTTGTTGATGAGCGCCGGCAGAGATAGGAGGGGACGTTCACCCAGCGGTATGAGGTATGCCGCCGGGTCCCTTCCTCTCTCCTTAAAATGTAGATGTCACCAGCACGACAGAAGCTCATAAGTCAGTGCAAATCCATTTATTGATAGATGTCACTCAGAATAACAAGCGCTTTCGGGGTGGCACAGGGTCCCCTTCATCAGGCTCAGAGAAGACTTCCTCTCTCCTGACACTGTCGGGCTCTCGGTTCATGACTGGGTGCCCGACATTTTAGAGGGGGTGACACCAAAATGACTATTAGTCATTTTGGTGTCACCTCTCCAATAGTGTCACCCGGGTGCGGGCCGCACCCCCCTTGTGACGCCACTGAGTAAAGGCAAAATACAATTTACGGCTTTAATAGAAAGTAACTGTGAGCACTTGAACATATCACTTTTCCACGTAGTCCCCAAGATTATGCACTTGTTGTATCATTCAACTAGCTTCTGTATTCCTGCAGAGAAGAAGCTTTTCTACTGCTGCTGAATCCATTTGTGCACCTCTTCCCTTACGCCATCAGGAAGTAGTGACCACGGCATGCTTCCTTTCTTTTGTTCTCTGGGTCGTAGTGGTGAATTGATGCCTCGCCAGTCGCTGGTTACAATTCTCTCCAGAATATGCCAATCGTCTTCATACCGTCTCAAGAACTGGGTCGCAACCTCCACACGCTGCTGCTTGTGCAGAGCAGTAAGCTGTTTGGGAACCCATCGTGTGCAGACTTTCCTGTATCTCAAGTCATCATGCACTATGGCAAATGCGGATCCATAGCTGATATCCAAAAGTGCAACCAAAGAAAGCGCACTATGGCACGTTGTTCTTCGATGGTGCAGTCTCGCAACGGAGTGTCCATGTTTCTGACCATGTGACTACCACTTATCTAAAGTCCGAGTGCTGTACTTCTACATATTGTGATGCATATTTATTTGCATTATGGTGTAAAAGGGCCCCTAAATAAACCATTGAAAAAATATTGGTTGCTGCGCATTATTTGTTTCTATGCACTGTCATCAAATACAGGTATCTGCATGATTTGGGAGTGGCAATGCTTCTGGCAATGTTCAATGTGTTGTAGATTACCAAGTGTATTTTAAATGGAATTCTACTTAGGTATTAGGTGAACCTTCCTGTATAATCGGGAGGTAAGTAAAGGTCTGATTGCACCAATCCTATAGGTTGGACTCGATCTCTATAGGTTGGAGTCGATGGACTTGTGTCTTTTTTCAAACTGACTAACTATGTAACTATATAGGTTCTTCATTTGCTATTTCTTATAAAGGAAGGTGTGACTTTTTGTTGTGGAACATCAACAATGTATCCAGTTTATGAGCAGTGACTAAAAGGATTATTGCAAACAAGCTTCTAAGCAACAACAGATTAACAATATTGACCACATACAGAGATGTAGGTCTTGTTACTACTGAGCTGTTCTATCATGGTCATAATTGTGCTTCTACAGTAATACTCTGTAATTCCAACACGTCACTGATTATTGATACAATTAAAAAAATTATTAGCATATCTTAGGGTTACATGGGGGGGGGGGGGGACGGGGAGATGTGTAAGGGCCATACATATCTTTGCACCCAACTCTTAGCAACAATGGACAATGGGACACTCTGGCTGGCGTCCTGTCCAACTCCTAACAACCATTGACGTCACACCCCACCTACAACTGAGTGCGTGCACCACCAGCACCCCCCATCCCTCTCTCGGTCTCAGGTGGCAAAATGGATCGAGACACCCCTGAGCCTATGTCACCTAATTTTTGCAATTTTGGGAATCCTGGCAATCATGAGTTATTCTTTGTAGGATTCTCAGCTGCCTGCACAAGTCTGAATGTGCATATTCAGGAGAATCAAAAGAGTGATCACCTGGTCTGAGAATCAATTCTCACAGTCATATTTTTATAGGCATAATATTAAAGTGGATCTAGAATTAAAAAAGTTATCTACAAGCATTACAAGCAGGCATGGTCCAGGATCACCAGCTAACCAACCAAAGGAACTGGGGTGGACTGGTGTACAACAGCGATTCCTGTGTGTAAAACCGAAGAGCTGAGCAGGTAGGCTGTGCTTCTTCTTAAAGGAGAACTATGGGGTCAGGGCTTTTCCCCATAGTTCTCCTTAGGGTAACGGGAGGACACAAACTAGCGTCCTCCCGTCACCCTAAGCTCAGTATACCGCAAGCTGTAGCTCGTGGTATACTGAGACGCCGCAGCTGAAACGGATCCCGACAATTGTGCCGGGATCCGCCCAGCTGCGTGACTGACAGCTGGCTCTGTCTATCTAGAGGCAGAGCCAGCTGTACCCGCTCCCTCCCCCGTCCGTTCCGCCAGTCATCGTTGGAGGATCGGAGCGGGGGAATCCAGTCCCTCCCCTGTCACGACTGCCGTGACAGGATCGAGAAGTGAGCGAACGCTGGTATGTGTTCGCTCACTTCCCGATCTACTGAGCCGACCTGTGACAGTCTCATTGGCACAGGTCGGCTAGAACTATGAGGTGAGTGAAAAGCACGCATCTCATAGTTCTCCTTTAATGATTTATTTTATTTGATTTAACCTCCCTGGCGGTAATCCCGAGTCTGGCTCGGGGTTAATTTTCAATGCTAGGAGTGGTAACCCCGAGCCAGACTCGGGGTAATCTTTAAAGTCCAAATAAACTTTCAAATTAAATCAGCTAATTACAATCTAGGTGCATTACAACAAAGGGTATGCAAAGTTTAGCACAGTCTCTTTTCTATCAAAAGCATCCACAGCTTGAAACGTAAAGCTTGTCCCCTGCTAGTTTGCTGCAGAGAAGGACAATCTGTGGAAGTAGTGGTCTCTCTGCCGAGGCCTAACCAACCAAATCACCACCCCCACCCCTTAAACTCAGAGCTCACCAATCAGCAAAGTTCTGGTTCAGCAGGGGGCATGTCAGACCTCAGCAGAAAGGCTAGTACTTCCACACACAGAGCAAGGGTCCCACACTGCAGCTGCTGGCAGGAGACAGGCTTTTCTACTAAGGCTGTAGCTACTTTTTATAGTAAACAAACTGTACAAGGTTTGATGAACCTGCAATATTCGGTATTTAGCTTATTTTGATTAAAAGATCAGTTGGGTTTTAATGTCAGACAAGGCGCAACAGGTGGAATTCATGAATGGGTTTGTGAGAAAATATTTAGTTGCAAAGAACAAAATCTCATGCTAACTAACTGCAAAGTCTTACCTTCTGTTATGCATCTTTAAGTGTTCTTGCACCATATTAATTTACTTAAATGTTAACTAATTGTTAATTATTAATTAATATTAATTTTTGCAACTCACTGCACATGTTTTGCGACAATTCACATAATTTCTCAGTAACTGCGCCCAGCATTTACGTCATTAAAAGACCTCCAAACTGTCACACGTTCTAGAAGTGCTCCTGAGCACTTAAAGGAGAATTATGAGGCGAGTGATTTTCGCTCAGCCTCATAATTTGAGCCGACCTGTGACAATGAAACTGTCACAGGTCGGCTCAGTAGATCGGGAAGTGAGCAAACACATACCGTCGCTCGCTCACTTCTCGATCTATCCCTGCAGAGAGCCGTGACTGTCACTCACGGCTCCCTGCAGGGTTTCCCTTCCCCTGTCCGAGCTGACAGGCGGAACGGAAGGGGGAAGGAGCGGTCACAGCTGGCTCTGCCTCTGGATAGGAAGAGCCAGCTGTCAATTCCGCAGCTGGGTGGATCTCGACAGCAATGTCGGGATCCGTCCCAGTATACCGCGAGCTGTAGCTTGCGGTATACTGAGCTTTGGGTGACAGGAGGACGCTAGTTTGTGTCCTCCCGTGACCCTTAGGAGAACTATGGGGAAAAACACTGACCCCATAGTTCTCCTTTAAAGTAGCACAAAGATAATTCAGCTTCATACCCTCACGTCAGCTGATAACCTCAGGATTAATCAACTGTCCTCCAAGAGGTTTGCCACAATTTTGAGACAATTCTCTTTACGCAGGCATTTAGGAATGAAACATGAACTAATACATCTATAATCTGGCAATGAATAAATATATAATCTGATAATAAATCTGTCGCTATTTGTACTAGAAATCAGGAATACGAAAGTTTAAAAGGCGCTGATGAGTCAACCAATGAGTATCGCTTACCATAATATTATAATTGTTATCAATGTTCAGCTGTAAATCATTAGAAGAGGAATTTTTGTCTTTCAGTCCAGTGATGCTTCTGGTGGCATTGTAGATTGGGTTTGGTGGCTGATACTCTCGCAACAATTTTTTTATCTGCTGATTCAGCTGATCTGGAAAATCACTGATGACTTCGAAAATCCCATATGTTTTGTTGAATTTGACAGCTTCAGTGAATGTCTAAAAGGGAAAAAAAAGAGATACCTATAAATATTTGTATAGAAAGAGAGGAGAGCGAGAGGGAGAGAGGAAAGAGATAGAGGGAGAGAGGAAAGAGATAGAGGGAGAGAAAAGAGAACGGGGAGAGAGAGAAAGAGAGAAAAGAGAACGGGGAGAGAGAGAAAGAGGAGAGAGAGAGGGAGAGAGAAAAGAGAGCAGGGAGAGAGAGAAAGAGATAGAGGTAGAGAAAAGAGAACGGGGAGAGAGAGAAAGAGAGAGCGGAGAGAGAGAAGAGAGCGGAGAGAGAGAAGAGAGCGGAGAGAGAGAGAGAGAAAAAGATAGATGGTGAATAGAGAGAAAAGAGAGAGAGAAGAGTGACAGAGAAGAGAGTGAGGAGAGAGAGAAGAGAGGGAGAGATGCACTATCACTATCACATGTATTCATTTTTTGGGGGCCAAACGTTTAACAAGGGGAATGGAGCATGAAGCTAACCCTTTACTTACCTTCTAGATCTTAGACCAGGTGTAGGATAAATTGTCACCCCAACTGTGGTGGAACTATAAGTCCCATGAGGCATTGCAAGACTCCCACAGACGGAAGCATGATGGGATTTGTAGTTTCAGTCTGAAAATTGGCTACAGAAACCCTGTTCTACTTAAAGGGATCATTATAATTCCGACTGAAAAAAACAACTATTCTAAAGGGGTTATTGTACTTATGTGGTAGATCATTTTCACATTGAAAAGTGAAAGTTCGCCTAGTAAATAAGGTGAAGCTGCTTTTACATCAATCGTCTAATCACTTGCAAGCAAAAATCCTGTTTGTGCAATTTTATTTGAACATGATCCAGTATTGAAAGTGAAGAGAGCTTCACCTTACTTACTACGCTAAGTGCATATCCTCAACGCTTTTAGTAAATCAATGCTATAGACTTTTCATGTACGATAAAGATCAGCTCAGGAGGTCTTCCAAGATCAGTATTAGCCCAATGACATCATCTGATCTGATCACCTAATATCTGTAAATGCCGCCACCCTCCATTTCCAATGTCAGTTTGCTTGTTTATGCCCCCAAAAGAATATTGGACCATTTGTTCTCCCTTGAGAAGAGGTGATTAAGGTGGATATGCTCACCATGTAAAAATACATAAATGGTCCAAATAGTGAACTCCCTGTGTGTGGGTGTCTCCATCAACCTGCTGCCTGCTGAGGAGACACTGTTCCCGCAGTTTGCTGTGTGCATCCATAGACAGACATAGCTTGCTGCAAGCAACGACCCCCGCTCCCACAGTTACACTATGGCTATGGCTCCTCTGCCCTCAGTACCTTCCCCCAGGACCAGGAAGTTTGGGGAAAGCTGGTCCCAGCAGAGGAGACGACTGACCAGCGGAGGAGACGACTGACCGCAGGTAAGTGTGGAGGGGTCGGGGTTTACAGAAAGGTACTGGGCGTTATTTACCTTGATGTAGAGAATGCAGGTCCCTGTGTGTGTTGTAAAGTAGCCAAGCTCACTCCCATAATGGACTACAATCTCATGTTTAGTTCACTAATTTGTATTGAGATTGTAGTCCATCATAGGAGCGAACTTGGAGTGGTGACTACTTTACAACACACAGGGACCATGGGAACAAAAGTAGTGACCCTCCGGGAGGAAGGGCCGTGTCCGCACCAATTCAGAGATGATTTAAGGATCTACAGCTGAGTGATACACAAATATACATTTTTTTTTAATAGTTAGGGTACAGGAATGCATTTTTAAGATTTAACTCCTGAGTTTAGTGTCACTTTAACATGTATAAGTCATAATACCAGAGACTGTTGATCCACTGAATATCTGATTGCCTTAGGGGATCAGAAAATACCCCCCCCCCCCCATTAGAGCAAGGTGGAACATTCTCTAGGAGTTTTTTTCTCTCCTCTTGATCAACTGTGGGTATAGGGGTCTGTTTATGGCGGTTTTCTGTTTATTCATCTTTTTTGTTTCTCTCTCTCTATTGGTTGAACTCAATTTACTTTTTTTAAAGGAGGGATTCTGATGTGAAGGCAAGCTCCGGACATAATGGGGGACTCTAACGTGAAAGGGGGAAGCTTCTGATTTAAAGGGGAACCTCCTTAAATTCCATATCTGAATCTCTGGTCTAGTCATCCTAATGGACATTAATATTAGTATGCAGTAAGCAGATCACTACCTAGAGTCATTGGATGAATGAAGACAGTTTTTCATTTACAGAGAGTAATGTGTGTCGTATCAAAGCCGGTAACAATGGCGACTGGAGATTACCATTGACTGCATAGTAAACAAACACTTACTGGAAGGCTGAGGAATTCATTGAAGTAATCCACAAGCAGATCATCTGTTACTAGGAAGTCCTCCTGTGCAGGGAATAGAGCAAGTGATGAAATCCAAGCTGCGGTATCGGGAGTGAGGACTGATTATAGAAAATCCCACACTTTCAGACTAGTTTGACAGGCAGTTCTTCAATACCTGAATTCTCTATACCTTTCATGATGTCATTATCTGACCCCCCCCACACTGAATAAGCTCCGGATCAAATTGCACAGATCTGACCTGTAGTTTCAGGTTATCACCCTCTGTACTTCCATATGATATAATTACCAACTACCATGACATCATCTGCTGAAACTCAACCAATCCAAATGGACACATTGGATGAAATATGAAGACTGCATGTGAATATTTGAAGTGGACTACAGTAGGCCACATTCTTTTATAGTGCATGCTCATTCTGGTTCAATCAATACTCAATATACTGCAATAAATGATATGGCCAGATTTTTATATAATATTCTCTGTTCAATACTATGACATCAATCAAAGAGAAAGATTATAGTGAGCTCTGAAACAAAAACAAAAAAGAAGAGTCTGTCAGTCACATAGTTTTGGAAAAGGTTACATTTAAAGCTTAAAAGAGAACAATGGGGTAAGTGTTTTCCCCCATAGTTCTCTTAAGGGTCACAGGAGGACATATACTTGCGTCCTCCCGTGACCTAAAAACTCAGTATATAGCAAGTTACAGCTCGCGGTATACTGAGACCGCCGCAGCCAGGACGGATCCTGTCTGGATCCACCTAGCTGCGTGAGTGACAGCTGGCTCTGCCTATCTAGAGGCAGAGCCAGCTGTACCCGCCCCCTCCCCCGTCCGCTCGCCAGTCAGCACTGGAGGATCGGAGAGTGGGGGGGAATCCCTGCAGGGAGCCGTGAGTGACAGTCACTGCTCTCTGCAGGGTGATGATCGAGAAGTGAGTGAGCGACAGTATGTGTTCGCTCACTTCCCGTTCTATTGAGCCGACCTGTGACAGTTTCATTGTCACACATCGGTTCGAACTATGAGGTTGAGTGATTTTCACTTACCTCATAGTTCCCCTTTAAAGTTTAACGCAACTCTGTATTTATTAATACATCAATAAATGTATTTTTTCAAATGTAAGCAGTGTAGGTACCTTATTTGACATGGTATCAGCCTCTTGCAGTCCCCTGTACAGCAGATTTGGACAATGAGAAGCAACAGAAGATGCCGATTTCAACAGTGCTCACATGCTCAAAATATTGCAGATAGGTGGAGAGAGCAGCAATATGAGCTCATTAGTGTTCTGCTTCTCCTTTCACTATCCAGTCACAGGCCAGGGGTAAGACAAGACCTGTAAGTGTTACTAAACTGTAGCTGAGAAAAATCGGGTCTCCTTCCCAGCAAGACAGGTCTGCTCTGTGTGCCAAAGCTGTGTAAATCTCAGGAATGGATGGACAAAAATGCAAACGTTTGACAGGTAAAACAGCTCCCATATGTGTATCTACTCTGTGTTTTTAGCTGTTTACCTAAAGTTCAGTGACTGTCAGGTTACACCAAATCACAGTGAGTATTATAAAGTAACACAGATAGAACTACTGTAGGCTGGTACACACACAATCATTGTAACAAGAAACTGTAAAGAGACTGTTCTATATCAGCCTCACCTAGCAACATATACCTAACACAGCTATGTTTTCCCAATGTGCTAAAGAACAGAGATGTAATCTGTAGACTTGAAGTGTTGATACAGTGTCTAAAACAAATGTGGTAATAAAAGAATGATGGAAATAAACATACACAGAAAGTAAACCTAGATATACATAGGTTGGATTTTTTTAAAAGGTGAACTCTGGGTAGCTATAGAGACACAAATTAATGCAACTCTTTAAATATGAATACATCATTAAATGCATGTTTTAAATGCAAGGGAATGTGACCTGGTATCAGCCTCTCGCAGAAAAGCAGGGCTGGAGTGTGAAAGAAAGAAGCAGCACTAGGAGACAATCAATCCATGTGCTGACAAGAAGCATGCTGATGGGAGGAGTGAGCAGAGCAACTGAGAGATGAGCTCACTGCTGTGCTGCTTCTCCCTTCACTGTCCAATCAAAGGCTGGGGCAGGTCCAGGATGACTTGGACTCAGAGGAAGTGGGCTGAATGGTGCTGGCCATCAGACTGAGGACACCTAGTGGCAGAAAAAAGTATTACAGGGGAACTCTCTGAACTGAAGTTGAATATTGTAGCAGAAGCTGGTTTTGTTATCTTGGCTATTTATTTATTTCTTGTTATGTTTAGCTGCGGTTATTCTTGAACCAATATCAGGTAATTAATCATTCTGTAAATGACTGCCGAACATAATAAACGCTAAGACTTGAATGGATCAGTATTTTGCAGAATGGTTCCCAATCTCAAACCTAAACTAATGTTGAAGAGAAAGTGCCCCAGGGCAAAATACCTGTGTGGGGAGCTTCAGAAAGATCTCAATCCTTGACCTCCGAGCTGAATATTAGTATATAATTAGGTTGAACTCACTCAGCTTTATTGCAAGGGACGTCACTGTCATAGAACTAGTATATCAGCCCAAGAGTTTAAAGCAAAACTCCAGCCCAAAATAGCAAAATAAGAATGACGAGCCCTCAATCCAGACATTTTCCCTGCGGTGGTTTTCTTCTGCTGCTCGATGTTCTCAGTCTGATGGCCAGCATCATTTACCCCCTCTGAGCCCAGGTGGTCATGGCCCTGCCCCCAGCCTGTGACTGGACATCTTTCATCACTTTAATGTAGTAGAAACAGCTACAGCAAGCCAGACTCAAAGCAAAACCAGCAAAGCAATTCAAAGCCAACAATACGTAACAAATGATATCAAAGCGCAATATTCAAATGATTATACTTACAAAAACATCTTCCGTTATATTTGGAGGCCCTGCAAAATAAATATAATAAGAATGTGCAGAATTGTCACATACGGTCATCACATGTTTAAGGGCTTGTTCACACCAAATGCGGACCAGATCTGCATGAGTTTCTGCAGCAGCGATGTGCGGTCACCCAGAATTATGGAGGAAAAAGCTGCCAGCTTCAAGTCTGAACCTAACAGCTTTCTCTCCATTCTGATCGGCATCTAAAGGCCGTGACACACTGCAGGCGAAGCAGCGCGGAGCGGTGGCGCGCTGCCTTTGCGAGCAGTGTGTCATGTCATTTTCTTCTGGGCACCTCAGCTGGCGAGAGCTCGCGGAGCTGAGCGTGCCGAGATGAACAATTTCAACTTCAGCCAATCGGCTCGCGCGTATAAACCGGCGCGACGGGATGCGACGTCTGGCCGGTTGTTAAGCACGAGCCGATTGACTGAAGGTGCAGTCAACTGACTGCACTCAGCTCACACACTGCACGCAAAGCTCCTTGGCGGACAGCTTTGCTTCGCTCTGCACGGCTTTGCATGCAATGTGTCACGGCCTTAACAGGTTACAGAGCAGATTACTCCCCGCTCTGTAACCTGTCATGGACGGAGTGCTGCCTGCTAATTACAGGCAGCGCTGCATCCGGCTTTTGACAGGTAATTAGTGAGTGTCTCCTCCCTTCCTCCCTCACACTAGCTTGGGGTGGGGCTTCGGCCGGTGGGGGCGGGGCGGGGGAATACCTCACTATGAGGTACTGCACGCCACTGTTCTGCACACGCAGTGCAGTATGTTTTGCCGTCTTTTTTGCCACGTTTTTGACGCGTTCCGGGCCGTTTATGTGGAAATAAAATGTTATTTCTTTTTTAGCCTAAAATGGGCTTTCAGTGCGTTCCAGAGCGTTTGCAGTGTTCCAGAGCAGGAAAAATAGGGCTTGCTGCAGTTTTTTTTACATGCTCTGGAACTGAACGTTGCGGTGTGAACTAGATCCCAAAATACCATTGGAATACATTAGACGCAGTTTTTATCAGTTCTGTAACTTCTCTGCATCTGGAATGCACTTGGTGTGAACAAGCCCTCAATGAGTTGCTTGTACCATTTCCCTGTGACAACACACAGCAATTAAAGAGAATCTCTAAGCAAAACTTGTATTTTACGTTTTTGGATAGCATTTGGAATGGTTTGGAACTGTGAAGTTTTTATTGCTGTTTGTAGTCTAATTGTGAGATTGACTCTTCTATTTGTACTGGTGACCGCTGTCATGTAGAACAGGGGTAGCCAATCAGTGGTCCTCCAGCTGTGGTGGAACTACACATCCCACGAGGCATTGCAACATTCTCACAGCCACAGACATGACTCCCGGAGAGAGATGCATCATGGGATTTGTAGTTTCACCACAGCTGGAGGACCACTGGTTGGCTACCCCTGATCTATAAACAACCCCCACGCTGCAAGGGTGGAAAATAACAAAGTTATACTCACCTGATCCTCGGAGTCAGCCAGCTGTGAAAACGCTCCCTCCAGCCTGTCTCTTCCTCCGCTGCAGTGATGGTATGTCCCTCAGCGTCCTATACACTGTGAAGGGAATTTATCAAAACTGGAGCAGACAAAATCTGGAGCAGCTGTGCATGGCAACCAATCAGCGCCTCTCACTCATTTTAAAATCTTAATTGAACAAACCGAAGAGAGGAGCTGATTGGTTGCCATGCACAGCTGCTCCAGATTTTATCTGCTCCAGTTTTGATAAATTCCCTCATGTGTGTAGAACGTGATGAGTCAGGCACCTTAGACTGCTGCAGCGGATCGGGAGTGAGGCTGGAAGGACTGGTCTAAGAGCAAGCCGGCACAAGGGATGGAGTCAGTACTTATTTATTTTCCTCCCTGGACACAAAAGAGCGGTTAGCCCTTGCAGTGCAGCTTATCGCCGGGGGAAACACACAACTCCCCTTGCAGTGGGGATCTCTGTGCATTGCAAGGGTTAAATGCTTGTTTGGGTCTAGGGTACCTCGGTAAAACAGTTTTATCTACCTGATCCCCGCTCTCCCAGCAGTCGGCGTTCTCCTTGTTTTCCCTCCAGCTTGATGAGTGTCCTTCACCATCCTCAGCCCATAGCAGTGGCATGCGGTACCTCTTGTTCCGGGTGAGGCACTCCCCAGCCTCGCCCCCAGCACGTCCCACCCCCAACCTGTCCCCAAAGCTAATGTAAAGGAGGAAGGGAGGAGCCTCCCTGTCCCCCGCTTGCTCGTCACTGCTGAGGCATCGAGATCAATGGCCTCAGTCAGGGCTGTAGCTACCATGGGGTGAGAGAGGCACTCACCTCAGGCACAGCTGAGAGAGGGCGTAACCAGGGCTGGCCTGGCTGCACCCCTTTGCCCCTGTTGCCATGGCGAGCACAGGGCACCATTGGCAACAGGAGGCCAACACTGCCACGGCTCAGCAGGGAGAAGAGGAGCGGCACAGGCTCCAGCTTCTCCTCAGATCCCCACTGCTCTCCCCCACCTGTATGGGCAGAGGACTCCGTGTCCTCTATTTCAAAAGGGATAATAATTTTTAAAAAATCACACACACACACGTCAACTACTTTTGTTCCCCATGGTCCCTGTGTGTGTTGTACAGTAGTCACCACTCCAAGCTCGCTCCTGTGATGGACTACAATCTCAATACAAATGAGAAAACTAAACGTGAGATTATAGTCCATCACAGGGGCGAGCTTGGAGCCGTGACTACTTTACAACACACACAGGGACCGTGGGGAACAAACGTAGCCACCCTCCAGAAGGAAGGACAGTGTCAGCACAAATTCAGAAATGATTTGGGGATCTACAGCTGATAGTGATACACTCATAAGGTCCAGTACTGTTAATAATTTAGGTACTTGAATGCATTTTTGAGATTTACCTCCTGAGCTTAGCGTCACTTTAATTTGTCCTCGGGAATGAAAGTGAGGGAGACACCAAAATTTTGAGTTGCCACCAGAACAGGAATAGAAGGAACATCTTTAAACAGGGACACTTGTTCCGGTGACAACTGTCTAAGAGGGTATTTCCCTTTGGAGAGATTATCTCTCACTTCTTTTTTTCTACTGAATAGCAAGTAAAGTGAAATCTCCCCACGGGGTACAAAAGAAAAAAGAAACATAACAGGGATTCTCACCATTCCATACTTGGCTTTAGTTATACTTTAATTTTCCTCTATAAAGCAAAACCCACTGGCACACTTTTCCCTATAACAATATCAAATATGTTGTTTATATATATTATATTATTTTGTGATCCCATTTTAGGAATGCATCAGTTGGCGGTTCTCCTGTTGTGGAGCTACAAGTCCTAGCATTGCCCTGCCAGCATCTGGATGGGACATGAAGCTCCACACCTGCTGAAGAGGAAAGGTTGTAATGGACTGGCATTAGATATGTCAGCTCTCTCATCACTGGCATTAGATGTGGCAGCTCTCTCTTACCTGTTGCCAGCCTCTTGTACCCCATGGCGAGTGGCAGTGTGAGCTCAGCTCCTTCATGCAGTGATTGACGGGTCAAGCAGCATAGCGAGAGTCTGGATGTCTGACTTCAGCTGTGACTTGGAAGGAAAGCATTGATCTCTATGGAGCAGAGACTCTTACTGGATTGCTGTGCTGTCTTGCTGTGTGTGTGTGTGTGGCTGGATGTTGCTATGGAGTCACCCAGAATTGTCATGAATGGCGAGAGCTCTTCTCCACCCACAACTTTCCTGAAAGCATGGCTGATGTCTCAGCAGGTTGCAGGCTCTGTGCTGTCTTCTCCCTGACGTATTACTCTGCTGAATAGAAGTCCATTACAGAGAGGAAAGAGCAAGGCTGCAAATCTTTACTAGCAATATACAAGAGCTTATCAGCTGCTACTACCAGTCAATGCTAACCAATCAAAATGAATTGTTCACTGATCTGATACCCGAAATCTCGTCGCTATTGGTTAAAGGCAAAGTCCACTTTTTTGAGAGAAAATAATAAATACACACTTCTTCATAAAGAAAAAGATGTGCATTTATTATTTTTTTTGTTGGAGCCAGCAATGCATTGAATCAGTGGATGGTGGGTGCAGGGCCGGCCTTAGGTCTTTAGGCGCCCTGTGCGAGAAAGCTTTACAGCTCCCCTTAGTGACCACACCCCTCAGTAGCCACACCCATTTCCCCAAATATCCGCACCATTTAAAGACTCCTATTTTGTTAAGCCGCAAAGAAACATATTAAAAAGTATGATAAAAATAAAACTTTTATTTAAAGGTATTAACCAGTTGACATCCGGGGTGTTAAACCCCCTTCCCACCCAGGCCATTTTTCAGTATTCAGCGCTGCGGTACTTTGACTGACATTTATTCCGTCATGCAGCGCTGTACTGAAATGAATTTTATACCCTTTTTTGGGGACACATAGAGCTTTATTTTGGTGGTATTTAATCACCACTGGGGTTTTTATTTTTTAGTATATTAAGAAAAAACTACAGATTAAAAAAAAAAAAAACAGATTCCCACTATATTAAACTCTAAAACATTTATTATTACCCAATTTTTTGGTAAAATATAAAAGTCACGTTGGGTAAAGAAACACCAAACATGTCAAGCCTTAAAAAAACGACATTACCCAAAATTGGCCATAGGCGACGCATTAAAAGCTTTTACCGCTCATCAGTTTAGTGTTATCAGTGATTGATGGCCCTAAAATGATTGCTCACACTGCGACGTTCGCTTCAATATGTAACATGTGTAGCGCAATTGTCATTTGCGCTGGCAACGCATATTT